GGCAGCAACATTATTGCTGAAACTCCAGAGGAAGGATGGCGCGGCTCCGCCTACTAATTGCTTTATTACACGCGTTTTGTTTTTGTTGTGACAGTGCTATTGTTGGCGAGGAAAACCATGAGAGTTGTTTTGCGTCTGAGTCTGTACTCAAATGCGACTTTATTGAAAGCACTCAGGTATGTGGTAGAAGCTGTAGAATGGCATTAATGTCTTCTTCAGCCGAATATAGATTTATTACCTTTTACTTATGTATAATCCTGAGTCAGTCTACGGGTTGTGTTTCTTATGTTTGGAATAATTACAACAGGAGGAGCAGATTTGTTTCTGCAAGATATGCGAGGTTTCAGGGTATGCTACTGGGCGTTGAATAGGATACTGTATCCGAGGAAGTAATATGTAGTCACAAATTGAAAGGAGGGTCACATACGATGATTATATTTTCAGCTTTAGCAGGAAAGAGAAGACAACGTCAATTTGCATGTGATCAACGGATGCTTCACTTGCATACACAATTTACACAACACACATATGAATCTTGTCCAAAATATTGTTTTTTAGGACTATGATCATAAATAATATCTTAAAGAATTCATTCTGAATTCATAGCGAGACTAAATTTAAATCGTAGACACAGAAAACGGGAAACGAAATGATCGGGAGAGACTTAAATAAACTGTTTCACATTGTAGTTACATGTAGAAATTATCCATATAATCTGCTATAGACACACATTTCTAGTTAATTATCTCGCAGTTCACATAATTTGGCCATCAATTAACGACCATAATTAAGGATTAGCTCAAAATGCGTCCAAAATAACATCAATGAACATAACAAATAATTTTTTCCTGACCTTGATGACATATGGACAAGACAGATTTAAGGATTCTGTCAATGAATAAAGTTGTTTAATATAAGAACAGGATGCAAACTTAAGAGAGACAGTTGGTAAAGCTTAAAAACAATATTTATTAACCATAACTGTCCGCATTGTCTTGTTTCGCAAACGTTGATTCTATATATTTTTTTCTTCTCATACCATTTCTTGCTGCTATATATAATGGTTGAAACAAGTAAAGTAAAATATATGACATTTACATTTACACACACACACACACACACACACACACACAAAATATATATATATATATATATATATATATATATATATATATATATATTTGTGTGTGTGCGTGTATATGTATACATATGTATGTTTGCATGTGTCTGTTTTAATGTATTCACACACACACACACACACACACACACACACACACACACACACACACACACACACACACACACACACATATATATATATATATATATTATATATATATATATATATATATATATATATATTACGTCATGTATCTGCATATTTCTGTCTCTCTCCCTCTCTGTTTGTGTATGTGGGTGTATATATATATATATATATATATATATATATATATATATATAGATAGATATATAGATACACATACATATATACACATGTATATACATATATATATATATATATATAATATATATTCATATTTATCCATATATATGTAATTTTACATATATATGGCTAATACACATATGTGTATAAATACATAATAATATGTATAAAACATAATATATAATACACATATTCATACACATATGTAAGTCTAATTGTTTAAATGACCGCTTTGTAAAACTGCGCATTCAGGCACAATCTTGCGTATACATGAAAGCCTGATTACGAATATTTTTTTTCTCTCTTATTTGTCCACATTGCTAATGATTTGCTAATCTCCACAGTATTCTGTTCAAACACACAGATGTGATTACCTTAGAATAGAATTTATCGATATGCTATCTTTATAATAGTCATCTGCAATCTAAAACCACAAACCAATAATTACTACACCTAAAATGACTGGTTTGTTAGCTGTTTATCTAATTAGTCTAACCAAATCAAAACCCTGGACAAACATTAGACACCGTCATGTTTTTTATGATCAGACAGGAAAATGGTTGCTGCAAACTGTCGATTATTGCAGCTAAATTCTTCGTACTTTATGAAAATGACACGTGAATTAGGGAGAACATAGGTCCATAATTCAATCAACGTTCAATTAGTTTAATAGGAAATAAGAAATGAGTCAATATATGCAAGCTCATAGGCCTATATACTAATCAACTCATTTAAGGCATCCACACAATATACTAAGTAACGCAACTAAGATACACATTACTGCAACACGACAAATTTACTCGACATACTACCTTTAATAAAAGACCTTCTCTATTCCAAGGATGTCCGAGTGGACGAAAGAGTCAACAAGTTCCAGACAGTGCTGGTGATGAACGCCGGCCAGCTGCTGCTCCACCCTAGCGTGTGCACGAGCGTCAGCCTGTACCACATCGGCTCCGTCATGTTCACCAGCACCAGCCAGAGGGCCGCCAACTGCAGCGGGAAGGCCCTCCACCTGCACAACGTCACAGTGGATCAGATCCCACCGTACCTGGAGATGATCAGCCTGGAAAACTCGCGGCTCACGGGAACGTTCCTTTCGCAGCCCCACCTGAAGAAGGTCAAGGTGGTCAACTCGTGGCTGAGGCACTTCGACCTTGACACTGCCATGAGTGGAACTTCCGAGGTGAGGCTGCACAGGACGAACATCACGACGCTCAACAAACTGCACATGGCCGGGCGGTCCAAGCTCTTCATGACCGATTCAATGGTCCAAAAAGTGTCCGAAAACGCTATGAATTTCATGGAACACACCAGCATTGAGGTAATGCGCTCGGTATTTCAAGACGATTCGACAGAAATTGTAGTCCACAACTACAAAATAGGCATAATATTAGCCAATATTACTGGATCGTGGAGAATCAACTATAAGTGTGGGGACACCCCGGATACTCATAAAACAGCTGTTGATAAATACTCTGCTGACAAGCAAATAGGGAAGCAGAATGATATTCCCTTACAAGTTGCCTTAGGTGTGTTGGGTGTCATGCTTGCGATAAGCGTTTGCTACAACTGCTATACTTTGAATGAAAGTAGAAAGATAAAAGCAAAGTACCGCTACACAGGTATAACCACTCAATCTTAAGGAGCGGTCACACTAGTCTCTTCTGTCCAAGGTTCCCGAGACAGAATGGGATCCGAGATGAAAAGCCCTAGCTAGTCCGAAATCTCTGCGTCGGTATTTCATCCATAGACCGATTCGGTGTGACGTCACAAGCCGGAGTCGCCATTCCACTTGCTGAAAACAAACCCATCGCTTGCAGATACCTTGCTATCAACGTGAAGGAAAATGGCATATGAATTCTTTGATTCTTCAAAAACCGAAGCGAAAAAGTGATATGAAGCAAAACTTGAAGCTGTGTAGCTAAAAGAGTGCTCATACCGAAATCTGGATTGACGATCCTTCGAAATAACTTAAAATTGAATATTCCGACATCTACGACTATTCTATCAATAAACCAGGTGATAATAATAATAATAATTTTATAATAACATAATTTGCTACAGTAATGCATGACATTTAGCTATATAGAGTTTTTTCATTGAAATCAGTGCCATTTCCTAACATAATTTTTCTTCCCATTTACTAGGCGTTTATGCAAAGGAGACAATGAAGTCACATAAAAGCCGAAAAGCAAAGCATTTTTCTCTCCTCAATAATGTGATCTCAAGAGATAGGACCTCTTCATATGTTTCTTCTGCCGGATCATATGACATTTCAGACAAAGGCAACAGGCAACTGTATACCTGCTTTGTTTTCATTTAATGGACAGGGCTTGAAGGCACTTGGGATAAAGTCTGGGTGAAGTGGATTCGGGGATGGTTTACCTGTAAATATAAATTATTATATATCAGTTTACTACAAAAAAGTAATAAATGAAAATAATAGAATTGCTATTGTGCTTTTTAGAATATACGACTACTGCCAAAGCCTAATGTCGACAATGTTGATCTTGTTTGGCCTTGATAAGTAGTGTAGATAGACAAGAATTTGAAAGTGATTATCTGTCTCTGGAATTTGAAAAGGTGTAATATATTAATATGTGCATCAGTAAAATGTTCTGAACAGATGTAAACATTTTCCATCAGCCAAGCATTCCCATCAACGTTCATGCGTTTCATGGCCTGTAGGCCCACCCATCACTTCCACTATTCAGGTTTCTTTTCGCGATCTGGGAATATATGAAAACATATTAAACCTTTCTTTCCCATCATGTTGTGGTTTGAACAACCAACGACAACACAGTTCCTTGGCATTTTCACGCAAAGAAACGAAATTCTCAGAAAAATTCAGCGACTTTGTAAGCAAGGCGCAGTGATTTTTCGAACGAACGAGGGTTTGTTTTCACCAAGTGCTCGTTGCTAGGGGCGGTTGCTAGGCGTTACCGAATCGGTCTATAGTCAGACCAGGAAAGGTTTTACCATAATAAATACTATCATATGATTAATGGTAAGCTCAGTATTTAAAATCCTAAAAAGTTATTATTTTATGTTAAAAGCTATTGACTTTTAGGTAGTAAGATATATAGCATTGATCAATGTCTCAGTATTTTTATAAATAAAAATGATGATAATTTTGACTTCCTTGCCATTAACAGCCATTAAAATACTCGCATAATCCACATTGGTTGTGAATATGACCGGTTATCGTACAATGATAAGAATGCTTGTCTATGTTATCTATATATCGGGCGTCATTCTCTGATGAGCAGTCACACGTAAGATGACAAGAACACTTTTAATCTAGATTTCAATCGAAATTATACGAATTATCTATACGTCGTCCTGATATTGGTTTTGTCATGTTGACTTTAATTCGGTAAATCACCTCGGTTTCCTGTTGTGAATTATTTCAGATAAAGAGGAAAGAAAATGTATAAGAATCATCACCCATGAGTTTTGCATTTTGCATCTTTGATCATAAACCATCCTGTGATATTTTTTTTATACATATTTATCTATTCTCGTGTACGTATTGCAATGTGTATATATATATATATATATATATTATATATATATATATATATATATTATATATATATATATATAATTTATTTATTTATACACATACACGCACGCGCACGCACGAACGCACGCACGTGTGTGTGTGTCTGCGTCATTAGATTATTTTTCACTCAATATGATACTCATGAACTATTATATAGTATGTATTTATACCTATAAATTATGCATAGGACGAAATAAGTCTTTGGAAGATCGGGATAATTTTATTATAGACTAATCCTTCAGTAATTCATAACGCTGATCACTGTGATGCATGTGTAAATATCAATTCTATCTTTACATAAAAATACAACTATTTAAGTTAACAAGATGAATTTAGACTATACACATTGAAAAAACGGTGCATCATTGTTTTTCATGTGCATTCCTTTCACAGAATCCTTCAGTCATATCTCTGTAAAATAAATATAGTGCATATACTTGATTTTATGATTTTAAAGTTCTTGTTATTGTTGTTCTTTTCTAGAATATCATTTTAGTTCTTGTTATTGTTGTTCTTTATTCTAGACATATCATTTTATGATTTTAAAGTTCTTGTTATTGTTGTTCTTTATTCTAGACATATCATGATGGATGATAGATCTGCTAGTATTAAGGTTAACTCGTCTTTCGGGTTTAAATAGGGTAAAGGGTTTACTTCCCTGTATAAACTTTTGTACTGCATTTGTCAAGTCGTCCCCCAAAACTATATTCAGGTAAAATTTTTGTGAACTCATAGGTAAGACCTGTGGTTCTAGGGGAAAAGCTGTGTTGGTGTGAATGTGTTGTTTATATGAACTGGTAGGTTAGACCTGTGTTTCTAGGGGAAGAGCTGTGTTGGTGTGAATGTGCTGTTTAGATAGAATTAGCCAATGGGGGAAAAGGTGATCATTATACATTTCATTTTAACCCAGGTGGGATTTTAATCATTTGGTTGGGGATTAGAAGGGGAGGGTGGAGAAGTACCAATTACTAAGGATCATGGTTATAAAAATACTGATGTAAGCTGTATGTCAGTCATACTCTACAAGTTACGTGGTTGGAGCTCTAACACTAGCTCTTTGCTGACATTTCTGTGCGGGAAAGGCTAGAACAGTAGCAACTCGAGGAGGTGTCATGGCGTCTGTTTTGATAATTGTTCAATGAAAATATAACCATTAAACTCATTACTTTCCATCCTTTTGGAAAATTAAAGAGACTAAAATGATCGACTATATTCATAAAGCATCCGTACCTTGTGTGATGTCATCAAAATAAACCCCATGTGCTTTTTTTTTTTTTTTTTCAAAAATAGAATCAGATGCCATGACGCCTCGAGCTGCTAGTGATCTAGCCTGTCACATTTCCTGTGCGGTTCGAAGCATTAAGGAGAAAGTCTGTTATGATTTGTCCAGGGATGCCGTGTATGCTAGTCATAAGCGCCGGTAAACCTGTAATTGTTGTTGAAATGATATTGAATAAATTATTTGTAATCACACTGTCTTTTAATGTCTTTGTTTTTTATCTTTAGAGTCGTATTTATGGTAGCGCAAACACAGAGGTTGATGTGACCAAAGAGTATATACGTCTTTGCATCAGACACATTATGTAACTGTCGTTGTTGGACATATGTAAATTGGTGTTACGTGCCATCCTATAGTAAACAAAGATTCATATTTCTTTTTTCCATCTGCATTCTTTTAATTCTCTGTGGTCTGTCTCTCTCTCTCTCTCTCTCTCTCTCTCTCTCTCTCTCTCTCTCTCTCTCTCTCCTCCCTCCCTCCCTCCTCCCTCTCTCTTTCTTTCTCTTTTGCTATTTCTTTTTATTGAAATGTTTTTCCATATTTGCACACCTGTATCGTGTGATCCCGCGCCAAAATGAAGACAAGTCGACGCACCCTGTAAAAACCCCTGGTGATAATTGCTTTCACCGTTCAACCTCGAAGATGAAGACACGCGGAAAACCCACAATGCATCATAGGTTCTTCCCCTCCCTCCCTCCTTCTATCTCTGTCTCTGTCTCTCTCTGTCTGTCTGTCTGTCTCTGCCTCTCTCTCTCTCTCTCTCTCTCCTCTCTCTCTCTCTCTCTCTCTCTCTCTCTCTTCTCTTTCTCTCTCTCTCTCTTTCCCCATCTCTCTCTTTGTCTCTCTTTGTTTCTCTGTCTCTCGTCTGTCTCTCTCTCTTTCTCATTCTCTCTCTCTTTTCGTACTCTCCTCTTCTTCTCTCCCTTTACCCCCCCCCCTCTCTCTCTCTCTCTCTCTCTCTCTCTCTCCCTCTCTCTCTCCTCTATCTCCATTTTCTCACTCTTTCTCTCTCTTTTCCTCCCCTCCCCCCTCTCTCTCTCTCTCTCTCTCTCTCTCTCTCTTTCTCTTCTTTTCCTCCTCTAAGCCCTTATTGAGGAAACAAGGACTTGTAAATTTGTATGTTAAGTCCTAATTTGGGGTGTTGGCTTATCTCTACTCCTCTCCTTTTTGGATGTCTTATTATTCTCATCTGAAGAGAAATGTTTATAC